TAGATTTCTTTAGTTACTTTTGATTTAAGGATAAGAATAAACCCCATAAATTTTAAATTTTGTTTTTGTCTAGAATAATGAACAGTACATATACAATATTTTAAGCAGCCTGAGCACAGTTATCTGTGATGAAATAGAAAAAGAAATGAAAAACACGTATCGAGGCACATTAGTAACAACAGTAAAGGAAAACAAGTCCTTTGCCCTAGCTTGTATAAAAGAACTACATATATTTCTAATGAAAGATTACTTTGGCTTAAATGTGGTACTACATTTGTAGAGATTACTTACCATATACAAATATATTTCTGAGTAGTTATATAGTTCTTGCAAAATATAAATCTCTATACAATCCTTTCACTAGTAAATCTATTTTTCAGATTCTCTGACACAGACTCAAAGATATAAACAAAAAATTATATAAATGGTCAATACTAAAAGTTTAAAAGTATTAAGTCTTTCAGATCTTAACTGTATGACAGTAAGTCTAAAGAACAGTGCTAGCTTGGTTGCGGTATCATAAACTATTTTTTACCAGCTAAATAAAGTCCCTCCATTAACTTCTCAGGCATAGATCCTTAATAAAATAATGCCACCTTTTCAAGTCACTATATGAACAATTCATACCTCTTGCGTAAAGCAAAATTACTTTAGACTATAAATGTTAAGTCATAGCCTTTTAAATCATTTTGGCTTGGAAATAACATTATCTAATTCTTAAAATGATTAAATCAGTCAAGTAATTCTTGTTGGCCAATGAGAACATATGGCAACTTTTCACTTCCAATCAATCATGTTTTTCATCTTCTGCTCAAAGATCTAAGATCTTTTCCTCTCATAACCTAAAGCTTATTACACAGTGATTTTTGTGGCTTTGATAGCAATTCAGTATTTCTAAAGAATAAAGGCTATAAAGGTTCGGACTGCTCTGTAGGAAAAATACTAAAAATGATCTTAAAACAAGCAAAAGCTAGTATTAAAAAAAAGACAAAACCTTAAATGCTTCATTAGAATAGACAAAGAAAGAAACTAAATGAAAAGAACATTTATACTTTTAATACTGGTGAGGTATTTTCAAAATCCTAGTTTTTAGATTTTTTTCCAAAAAAACTTGAATAATAATTTGTACATGACCAGTGCTGTAATAGAACCTATTTATAAAAGACGAGGAAGATATCATTTTAAATCCAAATGACAACCTGTTATGAAACCCTTCAAAACCAAGTACGAAATAAAAAGGTGAACTACTTTGTTACTTATGGTAACTAGTTAAGAGAATGATATGTTAAAAGCAGAAAGTTGTTTACCTGCAAGTAACCAAATATCTAGCATAGTCACTGGCAAAGAATAGATACTTAAATATTTGTTGAATAAATTAATGAATATTCAAAATGGAGATTTCCACTCTGACACTTAGTATGTTAAATGTTTATGTTCTAAATACAACATAATATCAATACTTCCTCTGGATTAAAAAAAATTAAATGGGTAATTCATTTAAACCACTTTAGATGTCTTTACAAAAAAATCAAGAAAATAAATATGATATAATCACTACCTTAAATCAGTCAACTTGTACCCAAAATAATCTCCAAATGTTTATGCCAAGCCCATAGGTGAACTATGAAACTTAAGATCATGTATTATGTTCCTAATAAAGTGACTGAATAAGTTAGAATACATTATATCCTCCAATGCATTTCAAAAGAAGAGTGAACTAAAACTTTGACACATCATAAATTAAATGATACAATACACTAAGGTCTATTTGAGAGTTTTTTCACTTATAATTTTAATTCTGGATGTTAAAAAATCTATTAACATTCTAACTTAGGAAAAATTAAACTTCCTCTATGCTCATGCATTAGCTATCCTCTGCTACACAAAAAATTAATACATAAAAAATTAACATGAGAACTTAGCAGCTCCAAACAACACTGATTATCTCCATTTCCATGAGTCAGAAATTTTGGAGCTAGGTGGTTCACCTAATAAAACTAGGTGGTTCTGACTCAGGATTCCTCATCAGGTTGTAATCAAGACATCTGAAGTAGGCAATTCTGGCTCAGATTCCTTGAATAATAACAGAAAACTTTGTAAGTCTCTTGTGAATCATACTGGGGGGTTCACTCCATAGATAAAAACACGCTGACAAATCTGAGAAACTTCTCTATTCTAAACTTCTGCTAAGTAAGGGACACATCCTTATGCTTCTTTACAGCCTTACTACTTTGATTAAAAGGTTCTCTGAGGCACCACCTCACATCTTTCTGAGGCCTTAACCAAAAGAACTTCAGATGTTCTAGGAATTTAAAACACCTTAATTAGGTGGATCTCACTTAAAATTCCTCATGAGGTTCAATCAAGATATCAGCTATTACTTCAGTTATCAGAGGGCATGCCTGGAGCTTAATGACTTACTCACAAGGTGGCAGACTAATATGGCTACAGCTTCTTACCACATGGATGTCTATCTAGAGTGGCTTGATGTCAGTGTAACATGGCAACTGGGCATTCCCAGAACTAGTAATCCATGAGAGTCAAGTTGCAGTGTTTTTTATTACCCATCTTTGGAAGTTACTACATTCTTTACTGATAACAACTCACTAAGTAATACTACACCCTCGAGGAGATGGGAGGATATTCCACTGAAAGGAAGAATACTAAAACATTTGAAAATCTATCTAAAATTTTTTTTTTAAATGATTAAAAAATAATTAAAACTTGTTAGAAAAATTGGTTTTACTGAAATTACAGTGAAATAAAACCCTTTCATGAGGATTTCTAGTGATATTACATGTTTTTTATTTTATTATGAATATTAAAAACTAAGCAAGTACTTTAGTGCGCAGTGAAGCTAAGATATAACTACTCCTTTAGGTGCATGTGTCTGTGAATAAACTGTTGACTTGAACGCAGAGACATCAGTATGAAGCAGGGATCCTAAGAAGCTAAAACAGAAAACTTATTACTGCTTTCACTACGCAGCATTTTTTACCAGCATTTTTTCACTGCTTTGCCTGTCACTAGAATAAATTTATTTTTTCACTCTATACCAAAGCCCTAACATACACAGTACTAGCAGCCAGCCCGATTATGAAAATAAGGCAATAATTTTTATAAAACCAACTGACTGCTACATTTACAAAGTCTTGCCAACAACTATGTCCTGCAGCAGGTCTTTTTCTCTCCATGTTTTATGTAGAAATTAGGCGAAACTAAATCAGAAGAGTATTAAAATGAATAATCATTAGGCAAGGGAAATACTTAAAATGTGAAAACTACCTTAAGTTAAATTTTAACCAAATTTATTTTTATCAAAAGACAGATTCTGAAAATGGTTCCCCAATTCTAGTACAACATTTTGACTGCTTACAGAACAATATGGAACATTAGAAAACACTTAAATGAAAAAAAAATCCTTTTTCCATTGCATTACATATTTCTTATATCTGAGTAACTGTGACTCACTATATTTAAATAATAAAACCTTCAATACACACATTCATATACACATACAAGAATTCTTCAATTTACAGTAGAGGATGCACAATTAGGATACATCCACTCAAAATACAACTAACACATTAAAAATTGTAAACCCAGAAAATACTTAAGGATGAAGAAAATATCAGTATGTACTTAAGTGAAAAAAAATGCAGGCTATGGCATAATGATATCACCACAGAACAGATTTTTATGCATTGGGTGTACAGAAAAAAATACCAAAGGCAATAATTTAAAATGCGTGGAAGTTATCATTGACAGTTAACAGATTTATGTTTTCTCATTTTCTTCTTTAGACAGGGTCTTGCTATGTTACTCAGGCTGGCCTCAAACTTGGAATACTCTTGCGTCGGGTTTCTAAGTAGCTGGGACTACAAGTGTGCACCACTATGCCTGGATATTTTTAATTTTTTTCTTTAAATGTTGCTATATATCTCAAATTTTCTAAAGTAAACATTTGTTATTTTCTGATTATGAAAGTATTAACATAAGTAACTGTGTACACAAAATATTATGCTCTGTTATCAGGTCACAACTTTTTAAGTTAATGTGAACAGTGAAATATATACAGAGATTTAGGTTCTTTTATGGTTAAAAAAGTATGAATATTTATTGCAGCAAATGTGAAAAATATGGGAAACTATTTAAAAGAAAGTTATACAGCTCAGGATTGCAGTCCAAAGGTAAACAACAAAAATATTTAACATTTTGGGTAATAAGAATAACAACATGTAATTTCTGTTTTTAACTGCTCAATATATTGCAAGTAAATTGGTAAACAATAAAATTTTAAGAGCTGCATGACAGTCACATTACATTGATGGACAGATAGTTCATTTTTTATTATCAACTAATATTTAAATATATACACCCACATAAAACTAAACCCAGACATAAAAACTTTTGTGTATCTCATTTCCTTTTTACACATTACAGCAAATTGAATACTAGATCAACAAGCATGTTTCTATTTATCTTTAAGGCTTAATACATACTAAAAAAACTACTTTCTGGGAAAAAAATGTGCCAACTGTATTTTCTCCAGGCAGTCATCAATCTGTTCACCTCACAAAGACAGCGTGGGACAATGCCTTTTTAAAAAAACTTTTGGTCACTGGTAATTAAAACTGTTAGTTTACACTACCCGCTGGTTAAAATTAACTAAAACATGGTGGTATTCATATGCTTATTAGCAATTTGCATTCCTCTTCTGTGAATTTTTAGTGTAAGAATCTTGCCTGGTTTTTGGGAGGATCTCTTGCCCTGTGAATTTCAGAGTAGCTAATCTCTACGATTTCATGAGCCAATTCCTTAAAAACAAACCAAACTGAAATAAAACTCTCTTTCTACATATTGGTCCTGTCTCTCTGGAAAATCCAAATACAGTAGTGTCTCCAAAAATTTCTTAGTGATCTGTATGTAATTTATCAAAGCTTAGTGACTTCCTCCACGTCTTTTATGTTCAGAAATTCTTTTCAAGCCAAATCACTTACTTGTAAGTCATCTTCTGTTCCTTCAGGTTCAAACTTTAATGGTGGGCATCCTAAGAAAACAAGTGAAAGTTAATTAAGCACAGAATTTTTGCCTTACATTTCAGTATAATGACCAATTGATTATGTCATTAAAACACTTGAAAAGAATGCGGAGATTATTCCTGGCTGCCACGTAACCCAGTCAGAAGCTGGTCAACCCAGTCAGAAGCTGGTCGCAGGTACTGGCTCCTTTGTTGTAATAACAGAGAATAAAGCACATTTTCCTTCTTCCACAGCTACACTTCTAGTTACTTACTAAAGTCATGTTTTCTCTTATAATAAAGGTAAAATAGCTACTATCATTTCATAATTTTTCTTGAATTAGAAATCAAAAATTAACAACTTACAAATCTAGTTATTTAAATACAGAATGACCAAAAATTGCATTTTGTTAACTTTAATAGGAAAATATAACAGTAAGTATAAAAACAATTTTATCAAATTTATTCAATACAAGAATTAACTTGTTGACATCAATGCTTGGGATAGTACATAAACAAATGCACTGTTCAAGTGACACTCAGGGTAAACTGCTAAGTGGTTAAGGTACAGTAGCTAAATTATTTAACCAGAGCTTCATGCAGTATCAAAACATATTTCAGGTGGGCATGATGCCACATGCAATTAACACCAACTACCCAGGAGGCTAAAATAGGAGGCGTCCAAGTTTGAGGCCAGTCCCGGCAACTTAGCAAGATCATGTCTCAAAATAAAAAGGGCTGGAGAATGTAGCTCAGTGGTAAAGCAAGTGGCTAGCATGCGTGAGCCCTAAACTGTACTAAGCATCTCCATGTTTTTACCCTTGGTTTGTTTCATAATTAATTTATTTTTTTCAAATTCTTCTATAAAATACCATCTTAAAAACATACAAATTACAATTCCAACACATTTTGATTCAGTTACTTTATGTGGAAAATTATGCTATTATTAAAGATATTTTCAGCCAGGCACTGATAATCCCAGCACTCTGGGAGTGCTCTGGGAGACAGGAAGATTGAAAGTTTGAGTCTAGTTTGGGCAACTCACTGAGACTGTGTCCCAGAATAAAAACAAAGGCTGGGGAATATAGCTTAGTGTGAAGACCTGGGTCCTCAGTACTGAATGTGGTGACATTTTCCTTCCTAATTAGAAGAAACAAAAAAGCAAATCTTAGTTATTTTTCCCTTTTTGGGAAGAAATGGGTTTTAGTACTATTATTTTTTTTTTCGGTCTGTTTAAGCATAGCCATGAAAATTAATTCTTCCCCCAAAATCTATATGCTCTAGAATTAAACATCTTAATAAACTAGCAAGTATATGAAGAAAGAGCAGACGGGGTTATGGTCTCAGTCAGTCCTCAGTACTGTACTCCAGAGTTCTGTCACTGAATCCCCACCTACACCAGACTACTGCAAGTTCTTTTTGTCTGATTACCAATGTGGCTCATAACACATACCCAAGTGGAATACCACACCCTAACTGTGATAGCTCTACTCTACTGCTCATTCTTCAAACGTTTTTTTCTCTCTTAAACCCTTCTTTTAAAACCTTTGTCTTATCTAATGGCTGTTTATAGGCTATTCAAAATAATAGATACAACGGGTAAGCACTGCTATTTCACAAATAAAAAACTGGCTAAGAGGCCATTATTTCATCTTTACCTATTTTGAGTTTTCAAAGCCTGGTCACCTAACACAAAAGCTGGCTTGTTTAAAGTATGACTACTTTGTGTCAACTTTGAAGAAAGATGACTTCTGGTACATGTAACAGGATGAACATATTAAGGAAATAAACAGGAATGTCTACCTTGAGAAATATCCTCTATAGCTCTTCGAATGCCTCTATCGAATGCCCTAGCATCAGCAGGACTTTGAAAGGTAAGGCCAAACTTCTTGTCATCAATCTTCCAATGATGAAATGTTGGTGTGACCTTATTATAAATGAGGTCTTTTTTAAGCATGCATTCCAAAACCACCTGTCAAAAGTCAAACACTGAAGTTAATACACATATATTAATGTAGCTGTTTGATACAAATTCAGGTGAGGAAAGCTTTACTTTTCAAATAAATATTTTAATAAATTTAAAAATAGAGGTCTTGGGGCTGGGGATTTAGCTCAGTGGTTCCACCATCTGCCTCACAAGCACAAGGTCCGGAGTTCGATCCCCAGTGCCAAAAAAAAAAAAAAGGCCTTGAACTTAATAAAGAAGACTGAACATGGCCAGGCATGGGGGCCCACGCCTGTAATCCCAGCACTCAAGAGGCTGAGGCAGGAGGATTGCTAAATTCCAGGCCAGCCTGAGCTGTACAGTGAGTTGGAGGCCTGCCTAGACTGTATAGCAAGACAGTGTCTCAAAAAAGAAAAAAAATAGACCATGCAAGCTATAAACAGTATTTTGTTGTAAATCCCATGTCAAAAAAATAAGCACATTCTTGTTCCATACAAAATTTCCAGAAGACTTACCAGGAATTACTTCTAAGGAAGAGACCGAGGGGTGTTGTTAAAAAGAAATGAGATTTCTTAAAATCACTTTCCTAAATTTCTTGAAAGATCCATTAACATTTTATTTGAAGAGGCAACTGTCCTTGTGGCCTTTGTAAATATCTGCGCCTTGCCACTTTCTCATACTGAGTAGTTTAACCTTACATTCTGAAGCTTTAGTTTCCTCATCTCAAAAATATGAATAGCAATGAAATACCTCACGAACATGCATGCAAAGAGCTTTATGTATGTGCAGGACAACATACTTTTGTTCACATTTTTCATTTTTATTTTGAAATGAGTTTAAGTTTAAAGAAAAGTAACAAGAATGAAATAAAACTTCCTGTCTCCCTTTTATTCGGATTTGCTAACCTGTTTAACATTTCCTCTCTGTATAAACCCACAAATAAATGTTTATATATTTTACTCTAAATTATTTCAAAGTTACCTATGTTATGTCCCGTTACCCTTTAATACTTGAGTGTTATTTCCTAAAAGCAATGTTGTTCTTTTATGTAATCATAGTACAATTATCAACTCAGGAAAATTTAAAACTGAAATAACAATTTTATGTAATTTGTAGCTTATATTCTAATTTTCACTATGCTAATGAAGACTTTTATACTTTTTCATTTATTTATTGGGGCGGAGCAGTGAGACAGGGCCTCACTATGTAGTTCAAGCTGGTCTTGAATTCACTCTGTAGCCCAGGCTGGCCTCGATTTGGGTGATTCTCCTGCCTCAGCCTCCCACGTGCTGAGATTACAGGTGTGTACTACACCAAGCCTGGCAGTATTGTGTTCTTTTTTAAAACTTCCAATACAAGAACCATTCCAGGGATCATACATCAAATGCAATTTTAAGGTTCAGTCTTTTTCAATATGGAACACGTATCCCACTCTTTGTTTTTTGTTTGATATGGGGATCGAACCCAGGACCTTGTCTTTGTTTTTCATAATATTCGTAATATACTTTTAACAAACGTTTAATTGTCATTGTCACTATTCAAAAATAAATTTGCTTAGTGATCCTAAAAATGTGTCTAATTAATACACAAGTAAAACTATACACCTTATTTTATGAATGCTCTTTAAGACAGAAATAAAAACAATCCAAATAAAACCCAGATTCCATATCCTACTTCACAGCTTCAAAGAACTCATACTGATCTCCTGGCCTCACAAGAACTTGAATACTGAGTGAGCAGGGATGTGGACCTATGTTTTGCCAAATTCTTGGACCTAGAATGGTACACTGTTTATGACTGCTTGGTAAGTACCAAGTGAAAGAGTGTCTTTTCACTGCCCCTCTCTATCCTGGTCAGCATTATCACTTGTATGCCTCTTCCACTCATTTGCTTACAACCCGTTCAGGTCCCTTCACTGCTCTGCAGGTGGAGTGGTGGTTTTCATAAAAAGTGTAAACTTCATCAGAGGACCCCCTTGCTCCAATCCCTTCAACATCGTTTCAAGAATCTTCAGGGCAAAATTCTCCTTGTGGCCTACTAGGCCGTGTGGGCTGGTCTTGGTCTGCTGGAGTTCTAGTCTCATTCCCACTCTTGCCTTGTCACCTTGGGCTCTCAGTGCCCTGCAGTGCTGAGCCTTCTCCCTGGAACCTCTCTAGCACCTCTTCCTTATCTTTAAGATCTGAACCCACTCAGCTTTCTATAAGAAAGCCATTCCTGACCCCTAGACTGAATATAGTCTGCTAAGGGTTCTGCTACACACAATCACCTGTGCTTATAATTTTTAAATCTGCATCATTAGCTGTACAATGCCTGTCTTCCCCATTAGTCTATAAGCTACCTATGGGGATCACTGTGTCCTCAATCCTTACAGTAGCCAGTGCCCATTAGGTACTTAAAAAGCGTTCCTCCTCAGATAAATGCACATTTCCATATTTTCCTATAAATTTCACGTTTTATGCATTCCCCTAGAAACTTACTCATAGATCATAGATTAGGAACTCCTAATTTACACTTGAGCGATTTAGGTTCAACACAAGCATTGGTTCAGAAATTCTGCAAGTTACTATTAGAAGCTACAATAAAATAAATTCACAATGGGGCCGGGGATTTAGCTCAGTGGTTCCATCACTTGCCTCGCAAGCACAAGGTCCTGAGTTTGATCCCCGGTACCAAAAAAATAAATAAATAAATTCACAATGACTGAAGCCAGCCAAGGTAGGAATATAGCAAATGCTACTGCTTCATCTTTAAGGATGATTTTTAAACCTTTATCAGCATAGCATTAACTATAATGATTCTTGATAATTTCTTATTAATTCATGAATAAATAATCAAAAAGGTGATTAGAAGCAATATAACAAAACTGCCTCACGAGTTCTGCTAGTCTCACAATTGTACATGTACTGGAAAAGAGAGAACATACATCCAGGGCTTTTATGAATCAGTCACCTCTGCTAAGTCATTTACGAAAGAATCACTACTTACACAGCAATAACAACAATTCAGGATGAGTTTCAAGAATTCAAAAAGTACAGTACTGGCATTAGGAACTGCTGCAATTTTTTTTTACTATATTCATTAGTAAACAGTAGAAAAAGAAACATTTTAGGAAACAATGTTAAATAAAATTATTACAAAAGAGGCAAACATAAACTGAGTTTGATCCCACAGGTTTTATTAAATAAAATATCACTAAATTGATTTTTAATACATGAAACTATTACTGAGAGCACTTCTCTCAAATATTCTAAAATTAGTTATTTTCCAATTATTTTCTCTAAGATAAAACTTCAACACAAACTACAATAATCTCTACCACTAGTTTTCAGATGGCATCTATTTTTTTACAGACTCCCAAACTTGTAGAAAATTGAGTTGAAGGATGAGCTAGCTTTAAGATGCACTGAGGAGAAAATGGAAAGGATGACTAGCTCTTACTCTGACACAGACATCTGTGCAGAAACATGTTCCATGGGAAAGTCATACAAAAAGTGAATTTACCCACTGTAGCAAATGGTTAAATCCACTTGCTAATTATGAATTAGACCTCATTTTTGTTATTCACTTTATCTAAAAAATAGCATTAAGGAATAAGCATTTTACTATAGATAAAATAGCAGAAAACTACCCTTTAGGACAAGGCTGTAATAATGGTAGTAGATGTTATAAATTTGGAATAGGTAGTGAAACAGAAAAAAAGCAAAAGGCCTATTTATTGGCACAACTACCCAATATCTTCGTAGGTGATTTTACAATACACTTCCTATAACATTTTCCTCAAACATTTTCACAATTCTCACAACCCCTATGTCCGAAGTCTTAACAGTCTCTTACATAGCTAAGTCACACAATGTAAAATAAAGATGGAGTTCTGGCACAACAAGGACAATGTGTGGCATACCTTGGCTAAGAAACAGGCACTAAATGCCAACCCAAAACCAAGAAACAGAAACAATGAGACAGAAATTGTACCAAGAAAGTAGAGAGAAGAATGCTTCAAAAAGACTTTTACTCACCATGGGATCAATACTAAATCTACATTCATGAAAAGTAAAAATAATTTTAAGGGTTTGAAGGATTTTTAAAAATTTTTGACTACCAGGGCCTACTTTTCATTTTCCTTCGTCAACCATACAGAACAGTATGTACCAATTTAAACCCACTGGGGTTTTTATTATATTTATTCTTTATCTTGAGATAACATTAGTATTCATAGGTGCATGGAAACTGAATTGCAAATCCTGTATTTGCATAATTTGCAAAAAAAAACATAGAGAACACCAATTACTGTACATCTTTGCCAAAAGATTTTAAGCAACCAATTCAACAATACCATTACTATAATAAAAAGTAGTGGTAAATTATTCCTGGCCAATAGGAACCTGCACCTATTATTTACCAATGTTGTACAGAAAAAGGGACCCTATAGGACTTAAGTGGTCACTCTCCCAAAACATCATTCACTCATAGAACGCTGTAAAAGAATACAGGACATGAATAAATCTGTGTTCTGGTAAGACTATCCTAAAGGGAATTGTTAGAAACCATCAAAACATAATCTTGGGCTGGGGCACCACACCAGGGGCACTGCACCTGCCTCATAAGCACAAAGTGGTGAGTCTGATCCCTGGTACCAAAATTCCCCCCCCCCCGCCAAAAAAACCCAAAAACCATAAACGTAACCAGGTGTGGTCATGAACTCCTATGAGCCTCGCGCTCTGGGAGGCTGAGGCAGGAGGGTCACAGTTCAAGTCTAGCTTGGCAACTCAGTGAGAGCCTATTTCAAAATAAAGGAGCTGGGGATGTAACTCAGTGCCAACTCCCCAGGTGCCATAATCTTAATACTTGCCTGCAGTTATTAAGCTTCAAATATGCTTAACTAATTCCAATTAAAAGTTAAATAAACTTCTCTCTGGGATTAAACAGTTCTAGAAGTATGTGAATTTCATCAGGCCCTCATGAAAGGCATTCATAAAATGCAAGGTAAAGAAAAATGTCAAAGTGTATCAATGGCCCTACCCATATAA